AGTTGAATAAATATATCCTGTAAATACAGTAAACTACGGTTATAACGAACACGCTTATAACGAACTGACGGATATAACGAACTTACTTTTTGGTCCCGACTATTTGCTGTATTTATGCTGTATATATGCTTATAACGAACTACGGTTATAGCGAACTAAAATTAGTAGTCCCTTTGAGTTCGTTATAATCGTAGTTTGCTGTAATTCAAAATATGTGATTTCTAGTCAATACTTCAATATATGTGATTTCTGATGAATACTTCAAAATGTGTAATTTCTGGAGAATACTTCAAAATGTGTGATTTCTGGTGAATAATTCTAAATATGTGATTGCTGGTGAATAATTCAAAATGTGTGATTTCTTGTGAATACTTCAAAATGTGTAATTTCTAGTGAATACTTCAAAATGTGTGATTTCTGGTGAATACTTCAAAATGTGTAATTTCTGGTGAATACTTCAAAATGTGTGATTTCTGGTGAATAATTCTAAATGTGTGATTTCTGGTGAATACTTCAAAATGTGTAATTTCTGGTGAATACTTCAAAATGTGTGATTTCTGGTGAATACTTCAAAATGTATAATTTCTGGTGAATACTTCAAAATGTGTGATTTCTGGTGAATAATTCAAGATGTGTGATTTCTGGTGAATAATTCAAAATTTTATTTCTCTGATTTATGGTATGATTTGATGGGTAAAAGTGTCAAATGAACCTGTCATGTAAATTCCTCAAACAGTGTGATTTCTGGTGAATACTTCAAAATGTGTGATTTCTGGTGAATACTTCAAAATGTGTGATTTCTGGTGCATAATTCAAAATGTGTGATTTCTGGTGAATAATTCAAAATTTTATTTCTCTTATTTATGGTATGATTTGATGGGTAAAAGTGCCAAATGAACCTGTCATGTAAATTCCTAAAACTGTGTGTTTTCTGGTCTGTTCCGGGGCGGTCGGGTAGCCTAGTGGTTAAAGCGTTGGCTCGTCACGCCGAAGACCCGGGTTCGATTCCCGACATGGGTACAATGTGTGAAGCCCATTTCTGGTGTCCCCCGCCGTGATATTGCTGGAATATTGCTAAAAGCGGCGTAAAACCATACTCACTCACTCACTCACTCTGGTCTGTTCCAATTCAGTGAAAGGTAAACACGTAACTATTGCTTGACTAACCAACCTTGACTAGGCCTGGTATACGCTGTCTGACAAATGGGAGGTTTGACAATTGGGAGGTTGCCACGGCAACACCGTATCTAACATCATCTTAAAACCTACACAGGGGGCACGGGTGGCCCAGTCGTCTAAGGCGCCGCGATTCGCTGTGCAGAGTTGCGTCCCTTAGGCACGCCAGAAACCTATGATTGTGGGTTCGAATCCCGGTTCGCCCCGATTATGTTTCTAGGTTTGTCAGCACCATACCCGTGCTCGTGGCTTTCACCGAAGGGGCAAACGTCTGAGACCTGCATCACTTCGGGCTTTCCTCCCACATTAAGATGACACGCCGTGATATGACTGGAATACTGTTAAAAGCGGCGTTAAACACAACTCACTCACTCACTAAAACCTACATAATGGTGACAGGTAGCAATTGACAGTCATTGAACTCTGAAGTATTTGAAAGAGAACTCATAATGGGCATACACCCACATATTGTACCCATGTTGAGAATCGAAATGCTTTAATCTTCAGGCTACTTTGAAGGACAATAAATACAAATTGTTTTGTTTGTTTGTTATTTAACGCCGCACTCAGCAACATTCCAGCTATATGACGGCGGTCTGTAGACAAGACAATCCAGTGATTGATATCTTGAGCATCGATCTACGTAACTGGGATACAATGACATGCATCAACCAAGTCAGCGAGCCTGACCACCCGATCCCGTTACTCGCCTCTTACGACAAGCATAGTCGCCTTGTGTGGTAAGCATGGGTTGCTGAAGACCTACGCTCGTATTCTACCCCGGATCTTCACGGATGCGGAGATGAAGAAGTGGAAGAGTATATACATCTTGCCATAACTTATACCTGATACTGGAGTAGAATGGACATTCTGTGAGAAAGTGGACTTCATATTCCTTACGTCAGAGAGAGAGAGAATATGTCACCCAAGGTTGGTTATGAAAGGCCATGTTAACGTAAAATAACATACTATTCATATATAAAGTAATAAAACAATCATACCATCTCATATTTACACATGATACAAATATGACAGTCTTACAGTGACCATTTACATCATCAGCACACACATGTACTGTAATGTTTAACATGTTGTTTTGTTTGTTTGTTGTTTTACGCCTCTCAAGGCAAGCATGGCTTGCTGGACCTATTCTAACACTGATCTTCACGGGTCTGTTAAACATGTACACATATCTTTTACCATACACACCCTATTAATACAGGATAAAGAACCCCACCTCGTAGAATAGTCCACACATTCAAGCAAGGTTCACAAATGCATATAAATTATTGGATTAAAAAGTGATATATAAAGTAGTTGAGTGATTTATTTTCTGAAAGAAATAACATCAGTATAAAAACGACCCGTGAAGACCCGGGGTAGAATAGGTCTTCAGCAACCCATGCTTGCCGTAAGAGGCGACAATGCTTGTCGTAAGAGGCGAGTAACGGGATCGGGTGGTCAGGCTCGCTGACTTGGTTGATACATGTCATCGATCCCAATTGCGTGGATCGATGCTCATGATGTCAATCACTGGATTGTCTGGTCCAGACTCGATTGTTTACAGACCGCCGTCATAGAGCTGAAATATTACTGAGTGCGGCGTTAAACAACAAACAAACAGTATAAAAACTGGCTTTCATAAATGGACATGAACACATTTAAAGGTAACTAAAGCATTCATAAAATCCTGTTTCTGGACAGCGACCCGGGTCTACTAGACACTTGTGTAAAACTTGTGTAAAACAAAATGAGAAAATAAAAAAACATAACATAAAAAAATAAAATAAAAAAAACCCATTCATAAATATACTCTAGTCTGCGTTCACCAGCGATCAAGGATAAAACATTCCGTCTGCCTAATCAAACAATAGACGCTTTTCAAATAATGTCCAATCAGCTTTTACAACTTTTTAAACCTTATCGTATGTCTGGTTCGAGGATTTCGACACGGATATTCTACTGCTGATAACATGATCGCATTGCACTCCCTCATTGAATACCTCAGGGCACACAAAAAAAACTGTATTGTACATTTATAGATTTCTCTAAGGCCTTCAAGAGGGCACTGGTGGCCCAGTCGTCTAAGGCGCCGCGATTCGCTGTGCAGAGTTGCGTCCCTTGGGCACGCCAGAAACCTATGATTGTGGGTTCGAAACCCGGTTCGCCCCGATTATGTTTCTAGGTTTGTCAGCACCATACCCGTGCTCGTGGGTTTCACCGAAGTGGTAAACGTCTAAGACCTGCGTCCCTTCGGGCTTTCCTCCCACATTAAGCTGACACGCCGTGATATAACTGGAATACTGTTAAAAGCGGCGTTAAACCCAACTCACTCACTCACTCTAAGGCCTTCGATAACGTTTAGCGCTTTGGACTCTGGCAAAAAGATATTAAAACAAATGTACAAGGTAAATGTTTCAAGATCATATTTAACATGTAGCAAGGCATTATTGTGCACGTACCTGTGTGTTGACATGTTTGTATATCACGTTTACAATTTTTATTGTAATGATAAAAGATAAAAAGATCCAATTTCGATACTTTTTTCAAATTCAAAACAGAATTCCTTGGTGTTTTGAAATGAGATTAAGAAAAAATTGAAAAAATTAACCATATTTTTTCTGAAACATTCAAGACCAGGTTGTTCACTAAGCAGCGGGTGATTAGTCTGTATAGCTTTACGCCGATTTTGCACTATTTCAGCCCTATCACGAGGAATACCAAGAAGGGGCTTCACAAATTTTACCTATGTGGGGAATCAAAACCGGACCTTCGTCTTAACGAGAAAAAACTTTAACCACTGGGCTACCCATACGTTTTGAAGCATGAAAGTTTACATTTTGTTTGAGAAATGGTCTTCACTCATTGCACCCATGTTGGAATCGAACCCAGGCATTCGACGCAACGAGCGAACGTTTTAACACCTCCAAACCTCAGTCAGGCCAAACAGTTTCTAGTTTTCGTTACACGGGCCCGCCGCCCCTACTGAAAAGCAGCCGGAAAAAATAAACATAAACAGATTTATTTTTATTGTGTCTCCTTTTGGGCTGGGACGGGTAACTTGGGTACTCGGGTCGGGTGGGTACTGAGTAGGACCCGGATCCCACAGGACTACCCGGACCCGTGGTTAGTCAGGTGATAATATTCTTTGATGGCAAAATTATCTAGAACTCTATGGTTACACTATAAGTGACAAATGTTCACAATTCTTTCCGACTATGCACACATTCCTTCTGACTTTATGTGTTTGCATAAAGATAAAACTTCAGTCAACTTCAGTGTATGCATGGCCAGATCATTTTATACATGTATCTAAATACATTTTGACAGGAGTACGGTCTAACGTTTCCCAATCGGACATTTTGTACCTATATCTTGAGCTGGTACCCGGGTAGGATAGGGTAATAGGGGGTTGGGTACCCGGGTAGTACCCTGGTCTCCTACTAGTAATATAGATCCTCTTATACAATATAAAATGGTATATGTAACTTCCATGTCTACAGCCCATTTCTGGTGTCCCCCGCCGTGATATTGCTGGAATATTGCTAAAAGCGGCGTAAAACCAAACTCACTCACTCACTCACTCACTCACTCACTCACTCACTCACTCACTCACTCACTCACTCACTCACTCACTCACTCACTCACTCACTCACTCACTCACTCACTCACTCACTCACTCACTCACTCACTCACTCACTCACTCACTCACTCACTCACTCACTCCATGTCTACATCTCAGTCAGTGATCCAAGAAGCCAGATGCAGTGTTAACTCCACGGCCGAATAACTTTCATGTAAATAAATAAATGATTGACATAGCATTTTTTTTCTATTTTTATTACGACCGACCTTGTGTGGAAAAGCTGGAATAAATCCATGAAACATAAAATTGAAAAAGTGTGGTCTCAAGATGTTTCGGGTCGTTAACACCACCCGGGAGACCACACGCCATCAAACAATTCCGGGTCAGCTTCATCTGATTCGTCCGGAAAGTTAGCAGGGACCATTTCATTGTGGTACTCTGTCAGCTTCTTCTTCAGCTTCTCTGCGATGTCCTGGTGTGTATCAATAAGGTTCTTCCTCTCGTATGGATCATCTACACCAATGGAAACATTACAGTGAGTGAGTGGGTTTGCTTTTACGCCGCTCTTAGTTGTATTCCAGCAGTACCAAGGCGTGGGCACCAGGTATATGGTAATATGTTCCAGGCATGCCTAAGGGACGCAACTCTCGCAGCGAATTGCGCAGTTTCAGACGACTGTGTCACATTTGCCCTCGTAGTGCCAGGTATTTTTCAGAAATATGGAGTATAAATATGCATTTTTATATCCGACGCTTTCTGACTTTGAAAGTGAGTATGGTTTTACGCCGCTTTTAGCAGTAGTCCAGCAATTTCACGATAGAGGACACCAGGCTTTCAACATCGGGAGTAGGGTGAGTAGGATGATTACACGTATAAAATAGCAACGTGCATGCACACGTGTGTGTGTGTCTGTATGTGTGTCTGCTTATACCAGTCCGGACTTATGCCGGTTTATAGTCCACTAATATACCATTCCGCAGTTTAACATGAATACCCCACTCAGACACATTACACCAACTCCAAGCCGATCAGTCCTTGTTTTAGACCCTTAATACCGAGCGCCAGGCAGGGTAACAACAAATATCCTATTTTAACGTTTTTCGGTATGACGCGACCGGGGATCGATCCACCGATCGTCGGCTCTCCGGGCATACGCTCTATCAACTAGACCACGGAGGCGGTCTCACACAATGCGGAATCACTGAAGAGCGAACGTTTTAACCATAAGGCTACCATACCGCCCCCTTGAATGATAATTACCTTTCAGGTTAAACAACCAGTATGAGTTGGATGGAGTTTCAGGGTCCAAAGGCTGTGAATAGTTCAATTCTGTTCTGTTGGTGGTGTTGTCTGGGAGGTACCAGCCGTCATACAGCCCTGGGGATCCCTGGATCAGCTTGTAGTCACCGTATCTGAACAGGTGAGGTGAGGTGAAATTGGGTTTAACGTCGCGTCCAAGAATATTGCACTTATATAGCATGCACATGTATGTGTATGTGTGGCTGCTTTAAGTCCCTTTAAGTATACTGATTCCGAGCCGACCAGTCCTTGTTTTAGCCCCTTAATGCCGAGCACCAGACAGGGTAACAACAAGTACCACCTTTTAACGTCTTTTGATATGACGTGTCGGGGATCGAACCCCGGACCTTCCGCTCTCCGGGCGGACGCGGTCCCCTATCTGAACAGAAACAATAGACTAAAGTAGGTGAGTGAGTTTGGTTTAACCCCTCTTTTCAGTATTTTGGTTTTATCACGGCGTGACGGCTTTATGACGGGAGGTGGCGCAGGTCATTCGTTAACAAGTCGTCTTATTCCGGGACAAGCCGAATAGCGACTCGTGCCCCTCTCATGGCCATTTTTGCGACCGGGTTCCGTCTTAGCGGAAACGGGCAACCCCAAATCAATTGTCAACTCGTCGCGTAATGGGTCACATATAGTTCCCCATATATCATATATATTTCAGATATAATTTAAAGCACATCGGGACATGCGGAATTATACAGTATGATTGAAAACATTTAACTGTGTCTTGGGTATATTTTTAGATGCAAGACATACGTAAAATCAAAAATTATCTCTGAGGTATTCTTTGACGAAGAACTTAAAATCAAACGCGCAAACTGATTCGTACGTATTTTCTCACATGACATTCATCGATAGGGGGACGAGTCTTCTTGCAGGTTACGGAAAGGGGCGAGTGGTGACGAATGGGTGCAGGTAATACATCTATAACACTTTAAACGTAATAGGGACGATCCTGGATACGAACCCAGGAGAACAGGTTTCTGGCTGTAAGGGGCACAAGACTGCACAGGAAACGATTGTCAACAACCAACAAGTGAATGAAACAACCAACAACGATACAAATGATAGTAGCAACAACAACCAACCTAATAGCAGCAGCAAAAAACACCATCATGATAGCTGCAACATCAGCCACCAACCTGATGACAGCAACAACAACCACCAACCTAATAGCAGCAACAACAACCACCAACCTGATGGCAGCAACAACAACCACCAACATAATGGCAGCAACAACAACCACCGACCTGATGGCAGCAACAACAACCACCAACATGATGGCAGCAACAACAACCAACCTAATAGCAGCAACAACAACCACCAACCTAATAGCAGCAACAACAACCACCAACCTGATGGCAGCAACAACAACCACCAACCTAATAGCAGCAACAACAACCACCAACCTAATAGCAGCAACAACAACCACCAACCTAATAGCAGCAACAACAACCACCAACCTAATAGCAGCAACAACAACCACCAACCTAATAGCAGCAATAACAACCACCGACCTGATGGCAGCATGTCCGTCGTCGACTCGCGCGCGTACGTCGTCCAGGTTGTAGATGAACTCTGTTCTCCTTGTAACATCATGCTTCACAATATCCTCCCAATGATCCATGCTGTCACTGGCGTCTTCTGTTCACACGACACGTGTTCATTTGGAACAACAATATTCGTAATATTTCTGAATCAACCACTGTGATATTCGAAACGTGAAAATGTCAGTGGTGATCGAACAATGATCCTCGAAAAGGCTGTCTGAAGACTCAGTAATCTAGGACTAATTACATTTTAAATATATCAAGCCCATACTTTCATATTTGATATCGTGCTTAAAGTGAGCTGTCGAGAGGTAAGTCATAAAACCAACTAAAACACTTAATTGTCAAATTCTCCAGAGAGTACTCCAGGGTACCATCAGTCTTTCAAAATGAGGTTTACGTAGCCCAGACTCTATTGTTTAGCAAATAATTTGTCTTACATTAAGTATAAACAATAATTGTTTACATTGTATCATAGGTGCAAATATGCATATCGTCTCACAACTGACAGGATAATTATGTACGCATAGATCTGCCTGTGGTATTGTATTGAAACATGGTATGTTATGGACTACGGTATTGGGACATGGCGTGTAGTGGGCTATGATATTGGGACATGGTGTGTTAAGGACTACGTTAATGAGACATGGTGTGTAGTGGACTATGGTTTTGAGTCAAGGATGTAGTAGACTATGGTATTGAGACATGGTGTGTTATGGAATACGTTATTGAGACATGGTGTGTTATGGACTACGGTATTGAGACATGGATATAGTAGACTATGGTTTTGAGACATGGATGTAGTACACTATGGTATTGAGACATGGTGTGAAGTGGACTATGGTATTGAGTCATGGCGTGTAGTTGACTATGGTATTGAGTCATGGATGTAGTAGACTATGGTATTGAGACATGGTGTGTAGTGGACTATGGTATTGAGTCATGGATGTAGTAGGCTATGGTTTTGAGGCATGGTGTGTAGTGGACTATGGTTTTGAGACATGGTGTGTAGTGGACTATGGGATTGAGACATGGTGTTTTATGGACCACAGTATTGAGACATGGCGTGTAGTGGACTATGGTATTGAGTCATGGCTGTAGTAGGCTATGGTTTTGAGACATGGTGTGTAGTGGACTATGGTTTTGAGACATGGTGTGTAGTGGACTATGGTATTGAGTCATGGATGTAGTAGGCTATGGTTTTGAGACATGGTGTGTAGTGGACTATGGTTTTGAGACATGGTGTGTAGTGGACTATGGTTTTGAGACATGGTGTGTAGTGGACTATGGTATTGAGACATGGTGTGAAGTGGACTATGGTATTGAGACATGGTGTTTTATGGACCACAGTATTGAGACATGGCGTGTAGTGGACTATGGTATTGAGTCATGGATGTAGTAGGCTATGGTATTGAGACATGGCGTGTTATGGACTACGGTATTGAGACATGGATGTAGTAGACTATGGTATTGAGTCATGGATGTAGTAGGCTATGGTTTTGAGACATGGTGTGTAGTAGACTATGGTATTGAGTCATGGCGTGTAATGGACAATGGTATTGAGTCATGGATGTAGTAGGCTATGGTTTTGAGACATGGTGTGTAGTGGACTATGGTATTGAGTCATGGCGTGTAGTGGACTATGGTATTGAGTCATGGATGTAGTAGGCTTTGGTTTTGTGACATGGTGTGTAGTGGACTATGGTATTGAGTCATGGATGTAGTAGACTATGGTATTGAAACATGGTGTGTAGTGGACTATGCTATTGAGTCATGGCGTGTAGTGGACTATGGTATTGAGTCATGGATGTAGTAGGCTATGGTTTTGAGACATGGCGTGTAGTGGACTATGGCATTGATACATGGTGTGTAGTAGACTATGGTATTGTGACATGGATGTAGTAGGCTACGGTATTGAGACATGGTGTGTAGTAGACTACGGTATTGAGACATGGCGTGTAGTAGACTATGGTATTGAGACATGGATGTTGTAGACTACGGTATTGAGACATGGATGTAGAAGACTAAGGCATTGAGACATGGATGTAGTAGACTATGGTATTGAGACATGGATGTAGTAGACTATGGTATTGAGACATGGATGTAGAAGACTAAGGCATTGAGACATGGATGTAGTAGACTATGGTATTGAGACATGGTGTGAAATGGACTACGGTATTGAGAAATGGTGTGTTATGGACTACGGTATTGAGACATGATGTGTAGTCGACTACGGTATTGAGAAATGGTGTGTTATGGACTACGGTATTGAGACATGGATGTAGAAGACTAAGGCATTGAGACATGGATGTAGTAGACTATGGTATTGAGACATGGTGTGAAATGGACTACGGTATTGAGACATGATGTGTAGTGGACTACGGTATTGAGACATGATGTGTAGTAAACTACGGTATTGAGACATGGATGTAGTAGACTATGGTATTGAGACATGGTGTGAAATGGACTACGGTATTGAGACATGGTGTGAAATGGACTACGGTATTGAGACATGATGTGTAGTGGACTACGGTATTGAGACACTGTGTGTAGTTGACTCTGGTTTTGAGACATGGTGTGAAGGGACATGGCATGCACTTAACAAACTGACCTAATGTCCCTCCAGCGGCGCTGACCAGAGTCGCCTTCCAGTCCACAGCATGGATGAGCCTGTCACGGTACAAACACGGCAGTTAACACATCTTCGTATATGTAGTAGTAAAGGGAAATCCAGGATTGTTTAGTGGGTGAGTGAGTTGGGTTTCACGCCGCTCCGAGCAGTATTTCAGTTATATCACGACTGTCAGCTAGATATCTTCAGAAAGCCAGAGGTGATGTTTGTCTTAAACTTTTACCTCTTTGGTGAAACCCACAAGCACGAGTAGCTGACAAACCTAGAAACAAAGTCAGGGCGAATTTGGGCTTCGAACCCCTGATCATAGGCTCCTGGTACGCATCAAGGGACAAAACTCGGTACAGCGAAATGAGAACCATGTCACTGGATACATGTTTACATCACACACTAAGACTTGGTACGTAAAGATCCTACCTACCCACTGAAGCTGTGTCCACTCCTATTCAGCCCCGCCCCCCGCATGAAGCAGACCGTCCTCGTCCCACCCTCCCATATGGTGAACTTCCCTCCCCTCAGAGGGTAGTTATTACCGTAGTTGTCCAGATCGCCGCCATTCTGAAACAAGTGAGTGAGTTGGGTTCATCGCTGATTTCAACGATGGTTGTTTTATACAAAGGCGGGCCAGCTTCATCGGGGAAACACCTGGTATTATCACTGATTTCCAGTGATCCATTCACATATATTCCGATGGAATATGTTCCGGTGGATAATCGAGACTGGTTTTTCTCTGGCATTGGCGTTGTATATTTACTCTGGTTAGGTCTTCCACAAAACTAACTGTACTTACGTCGGACAGAAATAGAATAAGAGTGTCTTCAAATATTCCTTTGTCTTTGAGCGCCCTGGTTATATTTCCAACGGCGTCGTCCAAGGCTGACGCCATTGCTGAGGGGGATAGAGATACATCGTTCTAGTAACTAAGTTTACTGCTATAACTAATAGTATTACTATTCGAAGTGTTTGATTGGCATTACTTAGAAGCTGACAGATGACAGTAGAGATAAGTTATGGATAACAGCGTCTTTATTCACTGTAAAGGCAAGCTTTGCTTGACAACGGTACACGTATCTCTACCGAAACGTCGCCTTTACAGTAATTACATAAATAAGTTGTTATCTATAAATTATCTATTAAATTATCTAGTATTTAAATAACTACTACTACAACTGATTTTCTTCTATTACTGCTACTACTACCGCTTCTACTACCACTACCACCACCACCACCACCACCACTACTACTATTACTACTACTTTTGCTGTTACTGCTACTACTACTACTACAACCACTACTAATACTAATACCACAACTACTACTACCACTTAGACTGCTACTACTACTACTACTACTACTACTACGACTTCTAAAACTGATACTTCTGTTACTACTTCTACCGTCACAACTACTACTAATACTAATACTACCACTACTAATGATCCGTGAAGATCCGGGAATATGTCTAAAGAAAAAGGAGACTAACGAGATCGGGTGGTCAGGTGTGCTGTCTTGATTGGTGCATGTCATCGTATCCCATTTGCGTAGATCGATGCTCATGATGTCACTCACCGGATTGTCTGGTCCAGACACGAGTATTTCCAGACCGCTGTCATATAGTTGGAATATTGCTGAGTGCGGCGTTAAACAACAAACAATCAAAGAAAGTACCTGAGTGGAAACGCCGTCCTTCGTTCATCACATTAGGATACAGATCGTAATATTTGGACGGAGCCTGCAATGGAAGGGTGAGAATGACAGGAGAGTTAGTGAGCGTGTTAGCTTTCTGTTGAAGGAAATGTGGATTAGGACGTTGGCCTCATTGTTAAGACAGGGTATTGGGGTAGCCTCGGGGTTGAAGCGTTCGCCCCTCACGCCGAATACCCAGGTTCGATTCCCCACATGCGTACAATGCGTGAAGCTCATTTCTGGTGTTCCACGCCGTGATATTACTGGAATATTCATAAAAGCGGCGTAAAACCATACTCACTCACTCATTGTTAAGACCCACAAGCCCGTGGTGACGTTCACAAACCAGTGAGTGAGTGAGTTGGGTTTAACGCCGCTTTTAACAGTATTCCAGTTATATCGTGGCATGTCAGATTAATGTGGGAGGAAAGCCCGAAGTGATGCAGGTCTCAGACGTTTACCACTTCGGTGAAACCCACGAGCACGGGTATGGTGCTGACAAACCTAGAAACATAATTGGAGCGAACCGGGATTCGAACCCACAACCATAGGTTTCTGGTGTGCCCAAGGGACGCAACTCTGCACAGCGAATCGCGGCGCCTTAGACGACTGGGCCACTCGTGCCCCCCGTTCACAAACCAAGTCACTATCAGGTCGACACTGGGATACGACTTGACAACAGAAAACACCAAAAATGAAGTGCTGCTTTTACGGCTTTTTTCTTAACAAACTTAATTTTTTGACCACCATCGAGAGAGTTTCACTACACAACTGCAGTATGAAATGATGAAGGTTCTACAGAGATCACCTTAATACGTCACATCAATCTCATCCAGGAGATGATCGTCAAGCAGAAATGATGTGTACCCTTTTCGCGAATACATGTTGTCATCATTGAATTTCAGGGATCCACTCATATAATTTCCTCAATAATATTGCCTTTTTCGCCCAGTGAAATCTGTTTCGGAAGATGATCGAGATTATTTTCAGACCCGTGAAGATCCGGGGTAGAATAGGTCTTCAGGAACCCATGCTTCTCGTAAAAAGCGACTATGCTTGTCGTAAGAGGCGACTAACGGGATCGGGTGGTCAGGCTCGCTGACTTGGTTGATACATGTCATCGATCCCAATTGCGTGGATCGATGCTCATGATGTCAATCACTGGATTGTCTGGTCCAGACTCGATTATGTTACAGACCGCCGTCATATAGCTGAAATCTTTATGAGTGCGGCGTTAAACAACACACAAACAAACAGATATTATTTTCTGGTGTTGACGTTATATACTAGTATTACGTATGAAAGTGAGGTAGCTATACACATCTCCCTGTTGAAGGTCGGGGTTACCTCCAGTGGCTCGTGCACGTTCTGGAAGGCCACATACAGGAACAGAGGCCGGCTGGAGTCGTGGGCCTGGACAACCTCCGTGGCTTTGTCCACAAATGTGTACTGAAGTGGAATGCACAAAAAACAGTCATTTAAATGTGTACGGGGCGGTGGAGCAGCCGAGTGGTTAAAGCCTTCGTCATCACGTTGATGGTACAATGTTTGAAACCCATGGGTGGTGTCACAAGCCTCGATATTGCTAACAGCGGCGTAGAGTCTCTCATTCACTCAAGCGTAAAGCGTATGTTTGTACAGAAAATCAGGTTCAGAAGGAGGTATTATCGTGATCAAGATAAGCATCTAGATACTACAATGGGGAAGGTTAGAAGCAATGTGAAACACCGTGGATGATTATTGAATGCATATTTTAACAAATATCTAGTTTGTCTGTAGACCTGAGTCCGACCATCGGACATGCTGAAAATGAGAAAGTCTAGAGACACACGTGGACCAAACACGTAGAGGTGAGTTCTGTCAATATATTCTAGCGGGAATATGTAACTACATGTATATAAGGTTCAATAAAAATGAATGTATTCTGAAATTAAATAATACATGAAGACATCTCCTCGACTTTAAGGTCGTGATTCACAATGTGTACGTGGATATTCATGCACGGCGCACAATTTGGATGTTTGCTGCAAACTGGAATGGTGCAAAACGAAGTTGTTAGACAGTTTAATGTTCATCAAAATACAATATCATCTCTTTGGAGACAGCAGGGCAACGCTCATGACTTGTCAGAACGTCACGTCAACAAGACAACCGTGTTCGGTTTATGCATCTGCGAGATCGATACCAAACTGCCACATTAACAGCTCAGACAATTCCTGGTTTGATGCCACCGAGAAGCAGGAGCACAACATTCGGGGTCCAAATATCCACGTCACCGTCAGGCACGCCTAGCATAGTGTAGACAGCGTCTGAGGTTCAGAAGACAAAAACTGGGACAGTTTACTGTTCACAGATGAGACCAGGTTCATCTGGACATTTCTGATGGTCATGCAAGGGTCCACAGGAATCAAGGAGAACGTTTTAGGAGTGCGTGGCGTACGCTACCAGGGCGACATCGTTTGATATCATGTTCTACACTGTGTGCAAATGCAAGGACGTACCGTCACTTTGCAGCAGGATAATGTCCGCCAGCACGTTGTTCGTGTTGTAGCAGACTATATCAGGCAGCACAACATTGTTGCACTGCCATGGCCGGCTGTTTCTCCAGACCTCACCCCATAGAACATATCTTGGGTTAGATGGAACGACGCCTACGACAGGACCAGAACTATCAGGTAATGACAACGGTTGTGCCAATCGTTGGTTGACAACACCAAGACTATAGTAGTCACATGAAAAAAATCGGGTGTTCTTTAAGTTATTTTGAATAGCAAAATAATGCTGATATTGTCTATACAGCACGTTCAGGACTTGAACGATTCTGATGAACCATTAATAACCACTGCTGCACTGGAGAGCAGAATCACCCATCTCTGACGCATTACTATTATAAAAACAATGATAAAAACTTGTTGATAAATACATCACAGAATGTATATATATCGTTAAAGATTATATCTGAGATCACAACAGCTCGGGACCGCCACCTTGGTCTAGTGGTAAGGCGTCCGCCCGGAGAGCGGAAGGTCCGGGGTTCGATCCCCGGCCGCGTCATACCAAAAGACGTTAAAAGATGGCACTAGTTGTTACCCTGTCTGGCGCTCGGCATTTAGGAGCTAAAACAAGGACTGGTCGGCTCGGAGTCAGTATACTGTGTCTGAGTGGGGTATTCGTGTTTGACCGCGGCATGGTATCTCAGTGTGCTAGCACTATAAATCGGCATTAGTCCGGACAAGTACAAGCAGCCACACACATACACGTGTATGCACGTCGCTATATAAGTGCAATAATCTTGGACGCGACGTTAAACCCAATTTCACCTCACAACAGCTCGGAATGTGAGCAGTGTTGAGACTGACGAGTTATAAAGTTGCGAGATCACTGATGAAGAAAAAGTTAAGGCAGGTAAACACGAGAAAAAAGAAATATATCATATATGATAACAAAGGCTTGAAGAAACACCATCATTAGCATCAATATGAATATTGCCATAATCCAAATCAATTTTCTAAAAGCTATAACTGACAGTCATCAATAACAACAGTGTGTGGTGGTAGAAGGCATGCCTACGTTATGTTTTGGTTTGATGACGTCATATGTGACGTCACCGCTCCTCCATCTAATTTTAACTTACCGCGGAGTAGTCGTTCTCGTACTCCGTCGCTGGGTCTGTGTTGTCACGGTAGTCGAGGTAACCCTCTAGACGAGTAATGAAAGAAAATATAATGAGATCATACAAGTTTCATTTGTCTGTTAAAATTCTAATTCGCTGGCAATTGAAAGCGAAAACACATCAGCCATGATACACTCTAGGCATATCCATGTTGTGTTTGCATATCATTGCTCGGTAAATGAGAATATTTAGGTTGACCGGTCTACTGGCTATTTCCTGAACTGCCAGTCATAATAACATTGGTTTTCTCTCATTAGAACACGTCCGCCCGGAGAACGGAATGACCCTTAGGATGGTACTTGTTGTTACCCTGTCTGGCGCTCGGGATTTGAAGGCTCAAACAAGGACTGGTCGGCTCGGAGTCAGTATACTGTTTTCTGAGTGGGGTATTCATGTTAAACTGCGGCATACTATCTCAGTGTGCTAGCACTATAAAATCGGCATTAGACCGGACTAGTACAAGCACACGCCACGCCACGCCACGCCACGCCACGCCACGCCACGCGTGCTTTAGAACACAACTGCATAAGCCTTCGGCCATGGTGTTTCGTCGCATTGAGCTCATTCCTTCCATGCGTGGCTTAAATTGTAACACAGGGTTTGTCCCATATTTCGCGTAGTAAAATGAAAACGCTGTGATTGATATTGAGTGAGTGAGCTAAACCCTGAATGTTCCTCCAACAGCGCTGACTCGACTCGCCCTCCAGTCAACGCCATGGATCGGGCTGTCCCGGTACACAGTCTGCAGAGGCAAATCAGGATTTTGAAAGAGTCGTACGTGTGTTTGGTTTAAACATCTTTCAGCATTATTTCAATCATATCACGGCGTGGCAGATTCAGGCGAGAGGAAGGCCCGAAGTAATGCAGATCTTACACATTTACAATTTTTGAGAAACCCACAAGCCTGCATATGTTGTTGACCATCCTGGAACAAACACCGGGCGCATAATAATAAAAAATACCTTCCGTTTCATGGACAGTGAGCATAAAAATCATCCTCTACTAGTTTGTCGTTACCAAGCCCAAGTGTTCCATGCCGTCTGTTGTCAGGCAAGATGGTTGGGATATTGAGACACCCAACATTCATTTAGTTTGAACAAATGGCTGAACAGGACCTACCTTTGGTGTGGTTGAAATGATCTTCATCCGAGCCAAGGTATCCGAAGAAGGAGTCGAACCCTCGATACGTTGGCGTACACGCCCAGTTACAGAACCCGAGGTGCCACCTTGAGGAAGAAAGAATACGGAATGTATTAACAATACCTTTGGGAATATTTACAAAGGTTACCACGTTTGAATATAAATTGTCAATGCAGTGCAATGAGTATAACAAGATTAGTTTTTCAGCCCAAACAGAATCCACTTGGCGTAAACAGCAAAGAGCTGTGGAAATTATATGAATGGACCATTGAAAATATGTGACACCAGGACCCACTTGCACAAAGCGATCTTAGCGCTAAGACTATTGTAAGCCTATGCTAAAGTATGGGAGTTACGATCATCTTAGCGCTAAGATCGCTTTGTGCAAGTGGACCCAGGTGTTCACGAAGAGGGTAAGAGAACTCACCAAAACATTTAGCTCTGAAATTCGTTATTTTGTTAGCGCAGTATTTTTTGTCTTTTCATCGTTTCAACGCATCTGACAGTGAATGCGAGCCAGACATGTTCACTATTTGTGTGATATGTTCCATCTGCCTACTCACTTGCCAACCATGTGTGTAGCATAGCCCAGCTTCTTTAGCTCCTCGGGCAGCAGGGTATAGTTCTGCGGAGCGCATACGGCAGCACGGTTCGTAATCACAAGATGCTATAAAGACGGATACAAGTTTGGGACATTTTTTTAATTCATAAAACTTGACAGGCTTGCGTACACAGGCTATCTTCTTTACAATGGCTCTCATACTACGACCTTCCCGTCGAGAAGGGGGACACGGGTGTGCAGAGTTGCGTCCCTTGGGCACGCCAGAAACCTATGATTGTGGGTTCGAATCCCGGTTCGCCTCGATTATGTTTCTAGGTTTGTCAGCACCATACCCGTGCTCGTGGGTTTCACCGAAGTGGTAAACGTCTGAGACCTGCATCACTTCGGGCTTTCCTCCCACATTAATCTGACACGCCGCGATATAACTGGAATACTGTTAAAAGCGGCGTTAAACCAACTCACTCACCCACGTCGAGAAGACATCACATACCTTCCTGGCCACCCCGTTTTAACATTTCTAACATTTTATCCGTCACAAATACGCACATAAACCAAACTGACGGAGGGGATAGTTGGTTGTGATTACGTCATTGTGCCATGGCAGCAGGGATCGTTGACTGTGAAACGTTCGACTGTTTCCAAACAGCAGTGATTAAGTCAGAGAATTTTTGACTGCGGCGTTAGACAATATTCACTCGTTCTATACGCCACGCAATGACTGAAAGGAACCAGTACCTGAAGTCCAACCTTGTAAGGGAAGACTCCTGCCATCAGTGCGACCCTTGAGCTGAAAGTGTATTTTGTCATGGCATTGATCACAATTAAAGACTTTACCCTCATATACACACATGACAACAGGCCATTTAAACAAAAGGACTTGTTGGTCATGTCAGCGTATCCCATCTTCCCGAGAAAAGGGAGTCAACTGACTTTAAAGTCCTGTTTCCACTCTTGTCAAACTTGGCTAGAATGTTTGGGCTCGATCGTCGAGCTATCACGATCACGAGTGATGTCCCTTCTATGTCCTAAAACGGCGTCACCCAGTGAAGATGATCTGATCGATATTCAAGATCTATATTTTAATAAAACTAGTCTTACTTTGCGAAATGCATCACATCTCATTATAAACATGAAAAAATGTGGAAAATAACTGTTGACGCTAAGTTGACAGTACACATGTCTTGCAAATCATGCAAACGACCGAAATAATCACTGCAGTTTACGAATCGGATGTCGCTTTCCTCACGCGATTCTGTTTGAACTGTGCATAGACTCGTTAGTCAAGCCAAAATATAACTCCGTAATTCCAGCCTATTCGGCAAGGGTGAAAACTGGACTTTTAGTCAGTTAACTCCCTTGCCTCGGGAAGATGGCGTATCCAAAATGAGTCAGCTGTCCCATGATAACCTTTGGTATCAACATTGTATTAAAAAGAGGTTAACAACCCTCACAATCCTTAAACATTGCTGTCCGCGGCAAAGAAAAATAATTGATCGATTTCGAAAATATATATTGTTATGCATGTGCTGTATCATCAACAGGGAACGGCAGTAAATCGTTCTGCAGGGTATCAAATCAACATCTAGTGCAGTAAATAGTCAGAGGCGATAATACATTTGGAAAAGAAAACAAATACAGTATATACATGGCTATATGTTTTCTTCACGCACACTTGGTACAATGTGCGAAGGCCATTTCTTTTGTCCCCCGTCGTGATATTGCTGGAATATTGCTAAAAGCGGCGTAAAACCCCACTCACTCACTCTTCACGCACACGCCCACGTACACGCACACGCACACTCTCCCATTCGACTTACATTGAGTTCATAACTCACTTCATTACCCATCCCTTCACCCCTACGCCTATCCCAACCCCTACTCCCACCCCGACTCACGGGCTGCACAATGGTTGAGTGTAGGCGTGGCCAATTATCACCCATCCCTACAACCCTACGCCTATCCCCACCCCTACCCCCACCCCGACTCACGGACTGCACAATGGTTGAGTGTAGGCGTGGCCAAGTATCACCCATCCCTACAACCCTACGCCTATCCCCACCCCTACCCCCACCCCGACTCACGGACTGCACAATGGTTGAGTGTAGGCGTGGCCAAGTATCACCCATCCCTACAACCCTACGCCTATCCCCACCCCTACCCCCACCCCGACTCACGGACTGCACAATGGTTGAGTGTAGGCGTGGCCAATTATCACCCATCCCTACAACCCTACGCCTATCCCCACCCCTACTCCCAGTCCGACTCACGGGCTGCACAATGGTTGAGTGTAGGCGTGGTCCATCACCACCCCCTCACTGGCCAGCTTGTCTATGTTCGGAGTCAGCACGTTGGGGTTGTGATAACCAACGTCGTTCCAGCCTGAAATCGCAAATCAATGCGAAAAATGTGTCACTGAGTTTTGTTAGGCATTAGGTCATTTACAGCAGTCGAATTATTGGGAGTAGCAAGGGCGGGTTCATGTGAAAGAAATGGGGCGGTAGGGTAGCCTAGTCGTTGAAGCGTTCGCTCGTCACGCCGAAGACCCGGGTTCGATTCCCGACATGGGTACAATGTGTGAAGCCTATTTCTGGTGTTTCCCGCCGTGATGTTGCTGGAATATTGCCAAAAGCGGCGTAAAACCATACTCACTCACTCAGTCAGCCACGCTTACATAAAGGTAGTCGTCTTCAGCCGCAATAGACACATCGAAACCCGTCTTTACAGGCCAAGGAAACTAAACCGCGACTTTATGTGGAGCAAGCCAAACCCTGTCTTTATGTGGAGCAAGCCTAACCCCGGCTTTATGTGGAGCAAGCCTAACCCCGGCTTTATGTGGAGCAAGCCAAACCTTGTCTGTTTATGGACGAAGACAAAGCCCGTCTTTATGTGGAGCAAGCCAAACCCCGTCTTTATGTGGTGCAAGCCTAACCCCGTCTTTATGTGGAGCAAGCCAAACCCCGTCTTTATGTGGAGCAAGCCTAACCCCGTCTTTATGTTGAGGAAACAAAACCAAGTCTTTATGTGGAGGAAGCCAGACACCGTCTTTTTGTGCAGAAATCCAAACCATGTCTTTTATGGACGAAGACAAACCCCGTCTTTATGTTGAGGAAGCCAAACCCCGCATTTATGTGAAGGAAGCCACACTCCGTCTTTTGTACAGAAAACCCAACCAAGTCTTTATGTAGAGGAAACCGAATCCGTCTTTTGTGCAAGAAATCAAACCCCGTATTTATGTGGAGGAAGCTAAATCCCGTCTTTATGTGAAGGAAGCCACACCCCGTCTATATGCTGAGGGAAAAAAACAAGTCTTTATGTGCCGGAAACCAAACCCCGTCTTTTGTACAGGAAACCCAACCCAGTCTTTATGTAGAGGAAGCCGAATCCCGTCTTAATATGGAGGAAACCAAACGGCGTCTTTATGTGGAGGAAGTCAAATCCGTCTTTTGTGCAGGAAATCAAACCCCGTATTTATGCGGAGGAAGCCAAATCCCGTCTTTATGTGGAGAAAGCCAAACCCTGTAGGAAAACAAACCCCGAATTTATGTGGAGGAAATCTCCGCTACATCTTTTTCACCACATATGAATAGGGTTACCAACGAAGTTGGTTGAAGCGTTGGGATGTTGATAATAAGCTCATGTTCTATTTCAAATGTCGGGGAAACCGTCATGCGACGAAACAAGAAAGCATACATTTTCAACAGGATTTACTTACCTAGGTCGTCAGCGACGATTAATACAATATGAGGTTGTTTAGGCCTGGAGATAACGACTGGTAGAAGAATCGCTATTAGAGCCACACCCAGAACCACCTCGACTTCATACACCATGTTGAGGACGTCTTCGAGCTCCAAGTCTCTCTGGCCAACAAATCACCCGTGGACAGAAATGTCCTTAACGCAAACAAGCATATTGTATGGAATGTTCTCATGTAACTATCATATAGTCATAGCCACGGTGCATTTAATCCCGTACTAATAAGGCGTCAGTTCATGTATGCATTTCCACAGCCAGTGCCTTCAAATAATAGATGGAACTAATGTAGATGTAACAGATGGCCAGCTGTGCGCCCACTATAGAATCTCGTACATACAGTGACGGAATCAGCAGAGCGGAACCAACACAGTCGACCTTCATCTAGTAATGTTCATCAGAACCTTCTCATTTATATCCATGTTGGGGCGGCCTTTTCGATTTCCTGGATGGGTGTATTTTTTAAATATACTAAATATATTCGCGAAACTGCAGCAGAAACATAAAGTGTCCACGTTTCAGAGACACAATTGGTATGTCTTTCAGCGATGAGCGTCATGAATCAGTCTCAATCATAAGTCCTAGCAGAAACCACCCATCCCTCCACCCCCACCCCATCCTGAATATAAAGTGGACTGTTCCTAAGGATATTCTGTGCTCTACAATACATGGCATGTTCATCAAAGCAAGGAGACAGATACAATAATGGGTTTTTTTCCAATGCGTTGTATGCGAATATAAAACATCATATTGTGTATACAGTTCATAAACGTATTTTAAAAGAGGACACACATGGCAGTTGGGTGGTGTATGTAAATAATTTGCTTGTATTAATTACCGGCAACGCATGGCTATGATATCATAGATGTATACGATTATCCCATTCTTACTGTTGACTTGTAACATCTGCTGGTTTTATATTGATATTTTTCAAATTAATTACAACAAAAATTGTTACAGACAAAAACCTGTTTGTATAGTAATAAATGATGTATCGTGCATATATACAAATTGTATTGGTCGGGATCACTTTATAACATGATTCATGAATAGTGATGCAGGGCCCACCGTGCGAGTGGCCTTTGTGACATCACTGTACTTGTACATGATCTGTTTGTTGTTTAACGCTGTACTCAGCAATGCACACTGCACGACGGCGAACTGTAAATAATCGAGTCTGGGCCAGACAATCATGTGGCTGGAATGACGCAACTGAGATACGATTACGTGCATCGCCAAAGTCATTGAACCAGAATACTAGGTCCATATAGTCACCTCCAGATCCATTTCGTCACCTGTAGATTCATTTAGTCACCTCCAGATCCATTTAGTCACCTCCAGATCCATTTAGTAACCTGTAGATCCATTTAGTCACCTCCAGATCCATTTAGTCACCTCCAGATCCATTTAGTAACCTGTAGATCCATTTAGTCGCCTCCAGATCCATTTAGTCACCTGCAGATCCATTTAGTCACCTAGAGATTCATTTAGTCACCTGTAGATCCATTTAGTCACCTCCAGATCCATTTAGTCATATTCACCTCCAGATCCATTTAGTCACCTGTAGATCCATTTAGTCGCCTCCAGATCCATTTAGACACCTGCAGATCCATTTAGTCACCTAGAGATTCATATAGTCACCTGTAGATCCATTTAGTCACCTCCAGATCCATTTGGTCATATTCACCTCCACATCCATTTAGTGACCTGTACATTCATTTAGTCACCTGAAGATTCATTTAGTCACCTCCAGATCCATTTAGTCACCTCCAGATCCATTTAGTAACCTGTAGATCCATTTAGTCACCTCCAGATCCATTTAGTCATATTCACCTCCAGATCCATTTAGTCACCTGTAGATCCATTTAGTCGCCTCCAGATCCATTTAGTCACCTGCAGATCCATTTAGTCACCTCCAGATCCATTTAGTCATATTCACCTCCAGATCCATTTAGTCAGCTGTACATTCATTTAGTCACCTGAAGATTCATTTAATCACCTGTAGATCCATTTAGTCACCTCCAGATCCATTTAGTCGCCTCCAGATCCATTTAGTCGCCTCCAGATCCATTAAGTCACCTGTAGATCCTTTTAGTCACCTGTAGATCCATTTAGTCACCTCCAGATCCATTAAGTCATATTCATCTCCAGATCCATTTAGTCACCTGTAGATTCATTTAATCATCTTTAGATCCATTTAGTCACCTCCAGATCCATTCAGTCACCTTCACCTCCCGATCCATTTAGTCACTTCCAGATCCATTTAGTCACCTGTAGATCCATTAAGTCACCTGTAGATTCGTTTAGTCACCTCCAGATCCATTTTGTCATCTCCAGATCCATTTAGTCACATTCACCTCCAGATCCATTTTGCCACCTCCAGATCCATTTAGTCACCTGCGGATCCATTTAGTCACCTGTAGATCCATTTAGTCACCTGTCGATCCATTTTGTCATCTCCAGATCCATTTTGTCATCTCCAGATTCATTTTGTCATCTCCAGATCCATTTAGTCACCTCCTGATCTATTTTGTCACCTTAGATTCATTTAGTCACCTGTCGATCCATTTTGTCATCTCCAGATCCATTTAGTCACCTCCAGATCAATTAGTCACCTCTTGATCTATTTAGTCACCTCCAGATCCATTTAGTTACCTCCTGATCCATTTAGTCACCTCCAGATCAAATAGTTTCCTGTAGATTCATTTAATTACCTCTAGATCCGTCTAGTCACCTCTAGATCCGTTTAGTCATTGTAGATTCATTTAGTTGTTTCATGACGAACGTGGTATGACGCCAGATCCATTTAGTCATCTCCAGATCAAATAGTTTCCTGTAGATTCATTTCATTACCTCTAGATCCGTTTAGTCATTGTAGATCCATTAAGTTGTTTCACGACGCACGTGGTATGACGCCGCCCTGTAAATAATCGACCCTGTATCAGAAACAACAGTGGTTGAAATAATTAGCAGCTTCCTACACAGCCCAACCTACAACGTACAAGCGACAGATTACCACCATGTATATTACTGTAGAACACAATATCGCGGAGCATTGGCATTGGGAAGGCGTACACTGTATGCAGATTGTCAACCAAAGATAGCCACAGACGCTAGGTGAGTTGAGGTGAAATTGGGTTTAACGTCGGAGCGAAGATTATTGCACTTATATAGCGACGTACATGCACGTATGTGTGGCTACTGGTACTAGTCCGGACTGATGCCGATTTATAGTGCGAGCTCACTGAGATACCATGCTGCAGTTTAACATGAATACCCCACTCAGATACAGTATACTGACTCCGAGCCGACCAGTCCTTGTTTTAGCCCCTTAAAGCCGAGCACCAGACAGGGTAACAAGCACCATCTTTTAACGTCTTTTGGTATGACGCGGCCCGGGATCGAACCCCGAACCTTCCGCTCTCCGGGCGGACGCTCTACCACTAGACCACGGAGTCGGTCACATACGCTAGGTAGCGTAGCATATATCATAAAGCCATTTCCAGAGGTAGAAAGAGGGTGGCGAAGACTCAAACTGGGCAATATTGCGTGATAATAAGACGTGTTTATAAGGTGTGTAGGATACTAAATAATCAAGTTATGCAAACATGTAACGTGTTACGTTCATTGCTAATATCTGACTGCTCTGTAAAATGATTATATATTTTATTAAAGAATTGACCTTTACGTTGTATGAGTTCATTGGGGTATGAACCTTCATAGAGTGAGGACCAAACTGTATGAACGTCGGAGCTTAATAATAAGTGTATGATTCATAGATAAAAAGATGATAATTGGGGAGGGGTATGGCGCCGCGATTCGCTGTGCAGAATTGCGTCCCTTGGGCTCGGCCAGAAACCTATGATTGTTGGTTCGAATCCCGGTTCGCCCCGTTTTAGTTTCTAGGTTTGTCAGCACCATACCCGTCCTCATGGGTTTCACTGAAGTGGTAAACGTTTGAGACCTGCATCACTTTGGGCTTTCCTCCCACATTAAGCTGACATGCCGTGATATAAGGGCATAAGCGGCGTTAAACCCGACACACTCACTCATACTGAAATGTACGCGTTTTGCGGTTGAACATAACATATTCATATCTCAAGGGGCTGGCACTATAAATCGCCATCACTCCGGACAAGTACAAGCAGCCACACACATACGCACACGTGCATGCACGTCGCTATGTAAGCGCAATAATCTTGGGCGCGACGTTAAACCCCATTTCACATCACCTTTATTTGTTTTCATTCGTTTCATAAATGCGAATAATAAGATAACTAAAACTTTGACGTTTTGAAATAGCATGTCTTTTTTTGTCAAAGTGCACTCTTTGTGCGATTCACATTCGCACTGTTGGATTACCTAGGCGTTCCAAAATCATATAATCCATTTTCTGATGATAGTTAACAAGTTTTACATGAAACTCGATAGAGCGAATATCAGAATCTAGTATTGTCTACTGAGCCTGCAAATACTGCCACCCGTTAGGCCAGCCACGTGGTCCAGTAGGGTCTGTTGTAAAATCGTGGCACCTGATGTGAAATAAAAAAATGATAATAAAAAGGTCCTATAATCATGTGTTGAATTTGTTGGTTTGTTTGTTTGTTTGTTTGTCTGTTCTTTAACGCCGCAAGTAGCAATATTCCAGCTATATGACGGCGGTCTGTAAATAATCGAGTCAGGACCAGACAATCCAGTGATTGACATCATGAGCATCGATCCACGCAATTGGGATCGATGACATGTATCAACCAAATCAGCGAGCCTGACCACCCGATCCCGTTAGTTGCCTTTTACGACAAGCATAGTCGCCTTTTACGGCAAGAATGGGTTGCTGAAGACCTATTCAACCCGGAATCTTCACGGGTCATCATGTGTTGAACCTCGCCCTCGTTGTGCTTCATTGTATGCCAGCACCATACTCGTGTCTGGGGGTTTCTCCCACATTCAGATGACAGCTATGATAAAGACTGAAATACCCTTCAAAGAAGGTGTTACTACCAACTGGCATATGCCCCATTGCTTAGCTGTTTGTTCGGCAGCCTTTAATCTGATACATCGCAGATAACATCGGTATCATTACAAATACAGATATAATTATGCTTCATACACAACGTTTGTTTTTCCCTGAAAGAAGAATAGGTGTGGTCCTCTTTCTGTGATCTGGAATTAATAATGCATTTCACTTTGAATTGTCAAAACATGAAAATAGCAAGAACGTTCATAACGAAAACCACTTACAGCGAAAACCATATAATACCATATTACAAGCCTGTTATTCTTTGATGTTAATTAGGTAAGCAACTCTGCAAGAAAACATAAAATACAACATGTTTATATCTGGAATGTTTATGTCACAAACAAAATA